AGACATTTGCCTCGTTCTTTTTTTTTTTTTTGCGGAACTTTGTATCCAGCAATCTTGACCTCACGATTGGTTATTAACGCATATACATGCGTGCAAGTTTTCTATCACCTGAGGTCTGTCGATTTTTCTGATTGAAAGTATTTTCCGAAAAAATGTTCATTATTTTTCTAAAATTAAAAACGATATCTGACTTCGACAAGTTAACTCGCCATTAAACTTGTTTAAATTCTGAAACAATCTACGACTCGATGTACACGAATTTCCTTTAACCTTAGGAAGAGCTTTCTTAAGCGAAGTTTCTTTCCCCTTTCTGAAAAAAATCTCTTACACCTCTTTAGCCAAGAACAGAAAACTGGGTTATGGTCCGCCTTGGTTCAAGGCGGGAGCTCATGGCTTAAAATCTTTATCTTTATCTTCAACTAAAAAGAAGAATATGTAACAGAAAGCCATAAAATGAGTTATTAGAGTCTCACTAAAAGAAAAGAAAAAAATTACTTACCTCAGCTTTTCTTTTATTGTTTTAAGAGGGCTTCCGTTATTTTCCCTCTATTGCCCAGAGGCCCACTCGGAAAGTGGCCTCTGTATAGTCCCATTCTCTTTTTTAAACAAGGCTCTATTTACACAGGAGACCGTACCTGTTTTTACGACACATACAATTGTTATTAAAGACACTTAAAATCGATTAGGTTGAAAAAAATATCTAAGAACAAAATTAAAAAACTAAGCTGAAACGCGTTATACAGTTTAAATTTTCCAATTTCTGCGTAAATAGTTTGTTTTTAATTTCGATTTAAGGATTGCCGAGCCGATTTGTTTGCGCTGAAAGAAAATGTTCCTCTCGAAAACGTTACGTAATGTTTGCTTTTAATAAGACCAGAATCAATACAGATGTTTTAAGAGAGGCTGTAAGATATAGAAACTAAATTCACACTTTTATACCATCCACTAAGCTACCGTGTTCACAGTCAATTTCTTGCTTCCGAAGAACTGGCTTGTCATTCAACAGAAAAATCTCGGGATAAATTTGTGGATTTGTTAATTTCTCATTGCTTATTCAGGTTTTCAAGTTTTGCAATGTATTTAAAGCCGATTGAAGAGTTTGCCTCGGTTTTTGAAAGATTTACTGCAAAATCAAGATGATGTACTATGCTTGAAATTTTTGTCAGGCTTCAAAGAAGAGAAAGCATTATATTTCAAACTTTTGCCACTTGAACCTGTCTTATTCCGAGACATGAACAACCATTCAGGAAACATTTTTCATCATAATTGGTTATAAAGGTACAAATTGTTAACAGTTGTTTATTCGTAATACTTTTGATCAATTTTTAGTATTATACATCTAAAGATATTACACGTGAGGTATTTTAAACCGGGAGAAATTATAGTTGACATGACCCACAGTATTGCAATCTTAGTTACATCAGTTCGAGATACATTCCTGTTCCTCACGATTGTATTCGTCACTTTAAAATTGAAAACAAGATAAGCTAAATCAACATCAAGATTCTTACAAACACAACTTTTACAGCCATGAAAAATGAGAAAAAAATATCTAGAAAAGCTCCTTTTACAAATCGTATTGTGACTAATTGAGTATTATCATTATTACGTTCGTTTTTCTTCCACCAATACAAAGCTCTCGTAATCTTAATTAAAATTTAAGTGCCTTGATAACGCTATAATAATCATCATCCACTGATTCAACACTTTCTGTAAACATCACCTCTTAAATTTGACCTAATGAGACGTGATCCAATTAAGGAGAAAATATTACGAAACCCGTTTATGACGGACGAGAATTAGCGTAAAGCGACATTAAAACGTTCTTTTTAATATAGGATTTTGTAAAGCTTCCTAGAATTAAACGGCTAATGCAATGCCCAGTTTGATTGTTTCTTTTCTCTCTTTTTCCTCAAAATAGTATTATCGCACTTGTCATACCAAATTTCCCTAGTTTGGAGCAATATACGGGAAACGTGAATCCTTACTGTTTTCACCAATATTCCCATATCCAAAGTCCACTTTCCTAGGATTTTTATTCAAGAAAGTTTTTTTAAATCGAAAAATCTCATGTAAGGATCAAATAAAATAAAAAATTGAAATAAGTATCCTTAACTTCATAGAAATTCTTTTTTCTTCGGAAAAACTGACGCTCCTGATTACTTCCTCAGCTACAAGTGCAACAACGAATTGTTCATGTGCCCACCGATTGAAGAACAAACGCACCATTAACCAAACCGAGGGCAAGATAATTGGACTTTGGTTGTTTTCTTCATTTTTTGCATTACCAACTGTAAACTGGGGCTTGATGGTAGGACAGAACGTAAAAATTAACGTGGCGGAAATGTTAAGGGGTGTCGTGTGACTTGGTGTTCGTCTTTTCCGCTCTGACTAAATTACTTTCTTATCTTTCTCGTTCAATCACTACACGCATTCTTTTCCCCTCAATTTTTGCCTCTTCTATCTCAAAATACTCTTGTTTTGTTTCGCTCAAGTTTTAAACTAACAATTAATTTGCGTTTTTCAATTTGAATAGCGTTTTACTAGGAGTCTATCGTGGACCTTTGATAACGAACGGACTTCCGCTTATTAACTCCATTTACCCATGAGGTGCGGGAGGGAGAATGGTGAACGCGGTTGTTTAAGGTTCGAGAGGATCTGGGTTCCAACCCTAAGCAAAACATTGAGTTGTGTGTGCGTGTGTGTGTGTGTTTTTTTTTTCAGCGAGACTTTTAACTCTCAAATAGGAGATGATACTGAGGATACAGGTTAAACTCTTTAACTGCAATCCAGAGGGAGCATCAGTACTCCTGGTCGTCATGGAAGCCGTGATAAGTCCTTGTAGAATGGGTCGCTTATTTTTTGTGCGGGCTGAGCCAAAGGGATTGAACCAGATTAAAAGTAAAAAGAGGCCTGTAGATAAGCGTATGTCAATTCCGAGTTGATGGCCATGCCAGCGCCACTAAAGAATGTAAACAAACTATATTTATTTTTGCATTAAAAATTCATTAGTACTTCCGCTTTGGATCTTTAATTCTGTTCCAATTTTAAAAGTTGTCGACCAAGATGTCAAGTGCGCAACACAGTCAAGCTAGAAAGGCGGAATTAATCAAGACTTCTACTCACTTTGAAACACATTCCACACTTAAAAACTGTGACAAACGTCGCGGCTCGATTAAACATGCATGCCGGACTCAAAATGGAATAAATGGAAACGACACATTTAAATGAGTTAAATCCTTTGACACGGTAGCGTTATGTTCTTTCCGAAAATAGTCTAAAGAGAGAAATGGAGGGACTCGGGAGAGCGAGGAGAAATGCCATATTGTCTTACTATCAATTGTAACATTTCATCGAAAGCGTAGTTGCCATATATAAAATTTAATCCATGCACTTCGTGTTCTTGTCTGGAAAACAATCTCCATATTAAAATAAAGGGGTTGAATTCGCTTAACATGCACATTGGTAGACACTGAGCTAGGAGAAAATATTGAATGTTGGACCTGTTTGTTTTTCGACATCTCTTTATGATTGAAATCTTTTTTGCATTCACCGCTGTGTCCCTATACTTAGGGAAACAGGAAGAAACGCGGGCATCTGGTAATCATCTTTAATGTCTTTAAAAGCAAGCAATATTTGTCGTAGCAAACATGTTCAGTTTTTCTTCTCAGTCCATTGGGTGCATGTATGAATTATTATTTTACAGTCATAGGAATGTTGTCATCAAATTGACTGGGTTCTGCAATCCAATTGTGACCGTCAAATGTATGGAAAAGTCTAACTTAATTTTATTTTATAATAATGGCGGAATAAAATATTAGGGCCGGTTATTTACTCGATGTTTAATTTAAAGCACGGTTTTACGCAATCAGGGGGCCTCAGGCGTCTTCTATAGGAGGGTTGATTTAATCAAATAAATGTCCTTCTACTGTTTGCTTTCGGCCCTCTTGACGCTGTTCACATAAATAGATGTTTAGGTAAAAGGTTCAGCTAAATTGAGGATTGTTTGGGACGCGGTTTTGTTAAACAACGGTTAAACTTTGTTCAAATATTCAGACATCAAAGTGAACTAAGCACTTTTAAGAAGTGTCGCATCGGTGCCTTCTAAGGTTTTAACGATAATGGATTATTCTGAAATTCTAGAACAAATGTTAAACATGTCAATTAAACATCGTTTATTGTTCAGCGCCTGAAGGACTTCACGAATTATCTGTGCAGCCTTTGGGGTACCAGAATCCTCCACTGAGGATTTTTCTTCACTGGTACATGCCGGAAAGAACCACTAGAAATCATTTAACTTTGAATCTTAGAAATAATTAATTACTAAGCTAAACAAATTTTAATGACAGGTTTTCATCTATAGGTTATTGGATGAATTCCAAGTTTTTTGTTTTCTCCTGCTTTAATACTCTTACACTTCCCCTTGTCAAATAATTTTGTGAATTCTGGTGTGTCTACAACTTCCTCCTTCGTTATAAAATAACCTTCACAGCCAAGAAAAAGGTCAGAGTTAAAACTAAAAAATATAGATACAACAGACGAATCAAACATTATGTTTAAACTGTTTGAGCATTCTCTGCAACATAAAGCGCCGTAACAGTTAAACATAGGGAAGGACACGGTCCAGTAGGTCATCTCCAGTTTCGCTCTCATCGAAGGGGAACTGAAAATTTTGTGAAGATTCAATCTACCCATCCCCTGTAGCGACGTAAACTGAAGCTTAAAAGAGGATAATTGTTATAACACTAGAATAAGCTGGTATATTTAATTCATGTTGCAGTCTCGTAGAGATAACAAGCTTGATTTACACTCGTGAAAGGTTGTTTGTGTTCAGTCACCTTCATTTGAAATAAGTTTTGTTTTGTCTTCTTTTTATCGTTAGGACAACGCGTTGGAAAAGTGTTATATGATATCCTCCTGTCGAAGTATTGATTGCTGAATCGATTGTTGGGGAGGCCCTGAAGATAAATACTGACTTTCGTTAACAGAATATCAACTCTCGCCATAACTTTCTTCAACCTTAATAGACATCTTTGAAATATGACGACCTTAAACAACACAACAGAAGATTTAGGGAGCTCAGTGACAATTTCAGAGTCTCCATTTTGCATGCTAAATCCAAAGTGGCAAAACCTGAAGATTTTTTTTATAGCACTGAATATTCCTCTCTCCATCACGGCGTTTTTGGGCAATCTTCTGGTTATTACTGTACTTTGGAAGGTCCGCAGCTCCATGTGCCTTCATCCTTCCTCAAAGCTTCTGTACAGTTGTCTTGGGTTCGCTGATCTGTGCACGGGTCTTATTACACAGCCTCTGTTAGTCGCCTTCATATTCTCTCCAAAACACTCCAAAGGTTGTCTCTATCTACAAATCCCGTATGTCCTCACGAGCACAATTTTACGAGGAGTCTCGGTGCTAACAGTGACTGCGATCAGTGTGGACAGATATTTGGCTTTGGTACTAAGAATGAGATACAGAACCATGGTCACACTTACAAGAATACGGACTCTTCTGGCTGTTTTTACCCTTTACACCATCAGCGGTTCAATGTTGTGGCTGTACAAATTTCGCATTGCCGCAGCCTTGACTGCTGTAACATTATTGTTGTGCTTTTTGACAGCAAGTTTCGCTTACTTGAGAATTTATCTAACCTTACGCAACCACCAAATTCAAGTTCAAAAACGTGTCTTCCAGCCACGAGAACAAAAATTCCAAATGAATATGGCTTGGTACAGTAGAACAGTGACTAGCGCGTTATGGATACAGTTCACATTACTTTTTTGCTATCTTCCATTTTCTACAGTCATAGCATTACGTGCAGTCATTGATGTTAGTAATAACCCTCATGCATCGGCGATTGATCTGGCATGGTACATCACAGGAGTTCTGTTTTTGTCAAACTCATCAATAAACCCGATACTTTACTGCTGGAAGATTAGAGGAGTGAGAGCTGGAGTGAAGGACATAATCAGACAATTTTGTCGTTTCTGAAGTTTAAGGGGATAGTTTCCTCAGTTTTAGGCAATAATAGAAGTACTGACTGTCAGTACGACGTAGTAGCTTAAATCTCAGTGAGCTGAAAGGAAACGAAAAGAAAAAATATATTAAACATTATCGCCACATTTTTTTTATGACAACTCATCATCCAAAAGTAGTTTTTTAAAAACGTTTGCATTAATTTTAATCATGCTTCGATCTCCTCTGGTATAGCGTCTTTTTAGTAGTCATGGACCTTGTGTCAATAAAGAAAAACTAAGCTTGGTAAAGGAATACAAGGAGGTCAGCGTAGGAGAGAAAGGATAGAAAAATTCAATAAGTTGTCTTCGTTAAGCGTTCGCTAAAATAAGTCCCTTTTAACATGTTGTGATGTTTTCTTTGTCGCTGTTTGTCGGTAATAAATTATTCACTTCCAGGAACACGTCGAAAACTTTTGTTCTTCGATAAGAAATTGTCGCCTGTGGTTCCCTTCTCCTATACTGAGAAAAATGAATTGAAGTGAAATATTCTGATACAGTCTGCGGGTGTAATTAAACAATCGGAACCGTTTGCTAACCCAATACTCCCATGAGCCTTGGTTCAGACATGAAAATTAAGGTCGCCTCCCAAGGACTCGCCTCAAACAAACGACAAATGACAGGGAAGACCATTTGCATTCGCTCTGATGAAGGGCCAATGATCGAAACGCCGGCTCTTGAAACCTTTATGGTGGCAAATTTACATTAGCAACTAGGATAAAACAAAATTCTCTGGTAATACCCTCCACTGAGGCAGCACCACAGTTTATTTGGAAACTTACTCCTTTATTCATTTACAAAACTACTTGTCGCCGACTGGTAGGTTAGGTCGCTTCACGCGCTGAAAACGTTCAGACGGTCTGAGATCGCAAATAGAAAGCTGCGGATGTCTTCACGAATTTTTCTGTGATATGTTTGCTGTGGTTGATTCCCCAAGAGGAGAGCGTCAGTCTATAGAGGAAAAGACGAATGTCAGCTGCGTCTTAGTAGGCAAGCAGGTCCCTATTATTACATGATTATTAGCGCTGCAGGACGCGCGTTTCTCCTCCCGCGGAGAGATCTTAGAAGAGCCAGAAAGTAGTTACCGGGAGTCTGATGCCTCAATATTACCTGTGTTAAACCCCTTGCAGACTTCTCGCCTACCCGTAAGCTAGCTGCGACTAAAATTTTTAGATCATTAAATCATACTTGCGACGACGCAATTCTTTGCGAGACGGAGTGCATATCACCAATTTGACTGTTTGGCGCTTGTGAATAATTAATAAAGGTCATAATATGCTAATTTATTTTTGATCAATTCAACATAAATTTTCCTATCTCCAAGCTTCAAGGAATAGTTACGCTTACTTAGAAACTGAACATGGTACAGACAAAGTTAAATTCGACCCAAATGGTCAGTAAAAATGTCAAGAAGAGTAAAAACTTTTTCCAATCTATACAACGGTGTGTCGCCGAATTTGGCATATGTCTGATAGTGACTGGTAGTGACGGGTGACATAAACCTGTATACTTGCATAAAAACCTGACATTAAAACTTTCCTGTTCCTGTGAAAAATACTATCAGAGCTACGTTGATGTTTCAAAATTATATGTTGCGGCCACAGAATGCGCCTTAAAGCGATAATTTTGAGACACTGAATCATTGTTTCTTTTTTCTTAAGGAGATTAAGAACTGAAGTAAACCATGAACAGCTGTTTCGGTCTCATTAGACCTCAATTAGACCTCATCAGCGTAATATCTTCAAACAAATAATTCATTCACTGCCTCTAAAGAGTTTTTTTTTCCCAAAGAGGACTTCGAAACGTGTGGTTGAAAACATTTATTAAAAACGCAAGTCCCGATTACGAACTGGGAAATATTTATCAGAAGAGAGGCACCCAAAAAAATAGGAAAGACACAA